CCCTAGTTGTATAGTTTGAATAATGTTATAGATGATTATTTTTATTGCTAACATTTTGAAATGCTGACTTATAATAGAAGAAGTCAATCTTTATCCGCATATGACATAATGCTCTGATCAAATTGTCGTGCATTTTACTGTCGTGTATCTTGTGTTCAGCTCGTAGCGAATGACGGCGTTCTGTTTTGCGCTCATAGTTTGGTACCGTTTGTGCGTGGTGCTTGTTATTTTTCGTTTAAATAGCGATTATCACTATTTTGGTCTCTTTAATTGCTTGTTTTTATGACTCTACGTGAAGCAGTCCCCTGTCAGCGTGGTGGGTGGGTCATTCTGCACCCATTTTGCATCGTTCGTTTCGTAGTTCGCATTGAGCACCCATTTTGCATCGTTCGTTTCGTAGTTCGCATTGAGAACCCATTTTTGGCATAAAGTGCCGTAGCGTTAATATATACACTGGGTAGTCGTATCCAGTTGTTTTTATGCGATTTCGCATAGAATTCGGGTAAAATGAGGCTTATAACTGGAGGATATCCTTCCTCACTCATAACGTCATGGATAAATGTGTCTACAAAGGGGGGTTGGGGTGGGGTAGTGGCATGAGCGAATGCTTGAACTCTGGATGAGTCTCATGCAGCTGTGTAAGTTCCGTCGATAAGTGTGCAAATATGAGGGAGGCTAAACCCTGTGATGAATGTGTTTGATTAATTAAACACAAGATTATCGTCGTCAACTTATGATATGTACTAGCAGAAGCAAGTGATTGTCGATGTGTAATAATGTAACGAACGACGCGTCGTGTCATCACCAGTTTTTATTTCCCTGCCATCTTGAGTAACAGTTTTATTGCAGAGCAACGCCAGCGAGTGTGTAAATTATTGGTGTCAAGAGGACAGATCTCATATTTTTGGATAGTGAGAACGAATGCAAATTGCTTATCTGTTTTTTGGACGGCACTAATAAAGAGAAGAAGCACATGCAGCAGCAGCCATGAGCTCGGTTCATGATGGTTGGTTGGATTTATTTTCTGTTAGAGTGTAATGTAGAATTCAGATGGTAGCTTGGCTTTAGTGTGGATGAATAATATGGGTGTTAAGTGTTAAGAGAGGTAAATGAAGGTAATAATGATGGTTTAGGTGTGTCTTGCGACGGCTGTATGGCGCCGAATTTCAGTGGTGATCGTTACAAGTGTTTACGATGTTATGATTTCGATTTGTGTGCGCGATGCTACGCAGAGGAACGTGCCAATTTGCACGCAAACGTGAACACGTCGTCATCTTCACGTAACAACTCGGAGACGTTACGTGACATCTCACGTCAAAATTTACGAATGCGTGACTCTAACGACGAACATTCGCCCACACATCCGATGCAGTGTATCATGACACAGCAAGATTTTGGTCAGTTGCTGCTAGTAATAATAGTGATTGTGATCATCTGGTGACAACGTGTCACGTCTCACGTTATGCAATCACGTTTCACGTTTGCAGAACTAACCTATCAAGGTGATCAATCACATCAGTGGGACAAATGGCGTGTGGTGATTTTTACGTGTCCAGTTTGTGGTCAGCAGGGTTTCTCACGTGCCAGACTCGTCGCACACGTTATCGAAGAGCACTCTCAGCCATCCTCCACCCAGCAGCAACACGAAATGGTCAGAAGTTTTAGCTTGGCCCTGTTTGCGAATGTAAAGTGCATAAGTTGCAGGCGTGTCCAATCTGTATTTCAACAGATTTCTATCGTGTTGGATTTGGAGACTATATGCCGAATCAGCTAACCGATATGGTGTCGCATATGCAAGAGCATCACACGCAAACAACACTCACTTCGTGAGTTTATTGTTTGATAGAATTTAGGTGTTGCATTGTAAGGTGGACACAAGGAGACTAGTGAAATTCAGATAGTCTTCTTAATTTGAATGTTTTTTATGAAGTGAAAATAATATTGAAGTGGTGGTGGCTCATCGTCGTCGAGTGGTCTACGTGGCAGCAGTGGTGGTGCTCGTGTTGGTATGAGCACGACACGAGCCGATCTGGCACGAGGCGTGGGCAATCATCGGGCGTTCACAATTGGCGGAGGACGTGGTCTATCGGAATTTTTGCGTAGTGGAATGGGAATGGGGTTGGCAGGGCCAGCAGCAGGCGCTTTGCGTGCAGAGTTGCGCAGCGGCAATGAGCTGCGAAGAGCGCAGGTGTCGTTGTTGACAAGCACGGCCAACAACAACCCATCAGGTGGCACCAGCAACTCGTCACCACCGTCGCCGTCACGTTTGCTCCTAAATCAACAACGTAATCTCAGCACTAATCAGCAGCATCGCACTAATCCGAATCGCACCACTCAAGATTACGCACCAAGCCAAGCAACAACCACTACGAATCGTCGTTTCAACGGAGCATCGCTTCGAGCTAGCAGCAATAGCAGTGGCACTAGCACTAGCAGTATGGCCCAAAGAACAGCAGCAGCAGGCTTCATGCAACAACAACAGCACAATATTTCAGCATTTGGTCTAGATTTTCCGTTGTATTTAGATTCGGAGTTGGATCATATAGACGGACCGCCACCATCGATGTCTAATAATAGTGAGAATAATAATCGAAATGCAAATGAGAGCACTAATCCAACAACAGTTTCAAGGGAAGCAATCGGTCTTCATAATAATAATAATAGTAATAATAATAATACAACGAATGATAATCATCGTTCTGGCAGTAATAATGCTGCAGGAAACGGTTCAACGACCCATAATCGAGGTGCATCTTCTTGATTTTAGTTTAATCTGCTAATTTTAGTTTAGTATTCAGTTGTTTATTTAGCCAGCGAGTTTGCAGGTAATCCAACAGCAAGGACTGTGTCGAATAATAGTGGTGACCGGCGTGCAATTACGACTAGAGAAAGTACGTCGTCTCGACGTGAAACAAGTGCGATATTGTCTACTCTTAGCAACAGTGATAGTAACTGTAATTCAGTAATGTTATTATAGATAGTGTTCGATCGAATTTGTCCAGTTCTAGTAATTCTGAGCACAGTTCGGCGTCATCAAGTAGCGCATCGTCAGGTGCGACGACTCATCGATGTGGCAATCCGTCTGGTAACGGTATGTTCAAGTTATTAGCTGTGGCAGAAAGTTGTCGGCGCAAAATTTAGAGCCAAAGTTTCGAAATTTCATACGGAGGGCACTTGTTTACTTTGGGGGCTCGCACGCTGCGGACACGCTCGCGTATAACAATTGAGGCCATGCGCAGTGGGCGTGGCCTCGGTCAGTGTGAACGCGTCGCTGATGGTGTGTGAGCGTGCTCGCGTGCGGGTCCCTTAAAGTAAACAAGTGCCTTGCCGTTTCATAGTTGGTTCAAGGTTCGAAATGAACATTTTCATGTGTCTAAGCAGCTGTATTGTTGTAGGTGGTGAACACGGCGTGCAGCAGCACCAAGGCAGCAGCAGCAGCAGAGCAGTGGCGTCAAGCGGTAATACGACGGCAGGATCGAATCCAAATTCAGAACGAAATGCTGCCAATGGAGAAGATAAGGAGCGTCGGCACAATAATGCAGAAGGCGGCGGCGGCGGCGGAGTGATCGTAATGAATAGTGTGGGACGTGCAGTACTTCGTTTAACGCCATCACTTCATTTGCTGTCATCATCGAGCCTGGCTCAGGGTCAAGCTGATAACAGGGCAGAAGCTGCAGCTGCATCTGCTAATCATGCGCTGAGTTCAAGCGTTGAATCGGATCGAACTGAAGTGGCAGTGGCAGCAACAGCCAC